TGAGATGTAACTGAAGCAGACACCTGGAAGTGATCAGTTTAGATAATGTCACACACATGAACAAAAGCACAGGTTGGTATGATGAAAGCTTTTTAGATTTTATTGTTTTTACCAATAATGATTGAAAGAAAAAAAAAAAAAAAAAATCAAGCCAGTCCCAAAAGGAGTGAAGAGTGGAGGATAAAGAGGGCAGATAAAATGGTTGAATTTATTCTCAACCTAGAATTTGGACACACCAGTTTTTTGTATAGATCTTTAATTACCTTCTTTGAGACTGTACCTAAAATAAAGTGGCAGGAATGGATCATGCAACCAATACTGGGACCACAGATTTTCTTTCCCAGTGGCTTTGCTCACACAAAACTGACTCAGATCAGTAGTTAACAATTGTAGTCTGCAAGGACTTTTCAGAGGCCTGTAAGAGTATAGGCTCTTCCAGTTCCTGTGGGTAATCTTTAACCATTGTGAAAAGTCTGCTAGTAACTGCTCACCAAAAAGAACGAGAACAGAGCTTAAATTGTATAAAATTGTCTGCTGTTGAAACTGTGAAGAACGGTGGAGTCTGAAACAGCATTTTCCCAAATCGTATCCACGATGTGCACAAAAAAATGGTTTAATTCTGCCAAGCTATAAAAGCCAAATATTTTTAGCACATGCTGTACAGATTTTTAAAAATTAAAAAAGAAAATAATAATGAGATTAAGTAGATATGTGGGAATAAACATGGGAAGAAGACTGCAGTAAGAGCTGTAAAGAAGAAAAGATGAACCAAAGAAGTGACTTGTAGAAGTTGCATCTTGTAAAGAGGTCACTAAGAATGAATGCTACCTCAGGATAGGGATGAGTGATTCATAGGTCCCATGGAGTCACTGTGCTGACTGTAGAAGACAGCCTCCCTGAGCCTGCAAAGAAGGAATAATCTAAAATATAAACGTGTAAAAGGTTTCTGTATTAGCAGAAATTTTCTCTAATGACAACTAAAAATCCATCTCCCTTTAAGTTTCAATACAGTGGATAACTTCCTCCTCTCCAGCATACTTTCGGAAAGCATATTCCAATCATCTACAACTCCATTTTAGGACATGAAATTCTTGCTTTTTCATCTCAATTTCATCTCAATTTTCATCTCAAAATTTCTCCCGTGTTTTGATCCTGCAAAACATTCTGCATTTCCCCTTTGCTGCCTCTGTCTGTGGCTGTACACCCAGCTGGACAATCAAACCACTCAACCATACAAAAGATGGCCTTGACATGTGCACATGGCGTGCACAGCTGGGCAGCTGCAATTACAGAGTTTCACAGGTGAGCTGACCCTCATGTGCAAACACATGAATTTATGTTGTAAATTTTTTGTTAAGGGGATAGGTCTAACTCAGGGTTTGTAGAGTATCTCACACAACCTTTTCCCAGTCTTGGCCTGGATACTGGGTATCAAATATACAGCAAGGAAGATGTTAGCATGAGTATTTTTTCCTTTTGATTAGGGTATTATATTGTTCTGTTTTGTATGAAGATGTGTCTTCCCCAGCTTCAGGTCATTTGCTCTTTTAGCACAAAGTAATTTTTCAGGTTACTCCAGTGATCAGTCAAAATAAATAGGTTTAAATTTATTAAATACTGTATGTACTCAAAAGTATCTTACAATAAAGTAGCACAGATGCTTTACATTCTCTAGAAAATAATGATGGATATTATGTGCACATGTAAAGGAAATAGGAGTGGTCAAATGAGCAGACTAGGAAACTGTCAGTGAAGTCCTTTTGACATTAAAAATATTCAATTAATATCTTTTTCTTGAGATAATTTTCTGGAACTATTTGTTGCTTAGAAGTGTTCCTTGGGTGTAGCAGCACTGTGTCCATGCAGCACAGATTCCTCTAGATCAGTTTACTCAAACTACCTCTGTTTTAAAAATATTCTTCAATTATTTGTTGATGTTATCAGGGTGGAATACACTACAGCTTACTTAAAATCACTTTAAGCTAATTGAAGACCAAAACTACTAAGCTTTCTTAGGTTTGATTGTATATTGACTGCACTGCTTGCTTACAGAACAGAGTTAAGCTTGTCTGGGTGCTTTTGGCAGGCATTTCAAGGATAATTGGAATTGATCAGAATTTTCTAGGGCTCTTGTAAGTAGAGTTTTGAGATAATTAAACTGTTCTTGTGTATATCCTTATGCCAGTGATATCTACTTCTAATTTCAATGCATAGTTGAAATTATTCAACTCATAACTAATTATTTTGATTAATAATAATTATTAAGTTTTCAGCCAGAATTTCTGGTGAGGAATGTGAATATTTCCTAATGATAACTGCATTTACTATGATTTCATGTCACAACTGCAGATTTTCTTAATAATATATAATATTCTTTCTCATTTTTATATAGTCCAGCAAGTGTTAGACAGGTATTATCCTACAGGTAGGTTTCTAAAGAAATTGTATTTGAGAAGCTAATCTTTGAGTGGAAAAAGCAGAGACAAACCCTTGTTTGATTTATAAAATGTAAAAGATATACAAAAGATATATATAATATGAAAGAACTTACAAAACAAAGGTAGCATTGATGAGGGATGAAAGAAAAATTAGTGACACAAAAAACTCCGATACCACTGTAAATAAATACAATTTAAGATAGGATCAACACCTAAGCTGAAGGGAAACGACTCTCTTAAAAAAAAAAAAAAAGAAAAAAGTTATGTGATTATTTGAAAAAGCCTTACATAAATTCATCAAATACAATTTTTGAAGGTAGTGTTTAGTATAGGTACGTTATGTAGTAACTATGGGACATTTCCTTCTCAAGATAAGCAGATGACATTTAAGTACAAGATTGAGATACATTAGCTATAAATTAGATTTCTGTTCCATTAGAAAAAAAGAAAAAATAATAATGTAATTCTATATGTGTTTCACCAGTGTAATACCTACCAGAATAAAAATTAAAGTAAGCAAATAAAACTGGTAATCCTGAAGCAATTTTATTGTTCAACAAAACTACTTTAAACAATAATGTTAGTTTAGCTTTTGATACAGAAAATACTTTGATTTCCCATCAGACCTTGTTGGTATAATGGCTGTGGAGAACAGACATTAGAATGAAGCTTAAACAATTGCTCTGTTAAGTTTGGTTCATTTAGAAGCATTTGTGCAACTGTTTGAAGTTTAGACACTTATACCCTTTGCTCAGACACTATCAGAATACCCCCCTTTACTGAGCCAGATTTCTTTTTGTGGGTCTATATAAAAATATTTGCAGCTTTTGTATCCGTTGTGGAAGGCTTTAACAGTAAAAGCACCTCTATTATGTTTCCAGTTTGTTACTACCTGCCTCAAATTACAGTGCAGACAATCTGAACAGTAAAGGGCAGAAGAACAGGTTTGTAATAACAATCTGTAAGGTTCTTGTCAAGCCTGTGATATCAGATCCCAGAGGAAACATGAAACTACTGCTAGTGGTGAAGTTTGCTTTTACCCTTTTCTCCTTAAAGCACAGACTGATAGAATTGCAATCCTTTCCTGCTTTAACAGCTTTCTTCACATTCCAGGTGAGTGGTCTAACCGCTGAGCTGGAAATTGTCTGTCTGTATCCCAATTAATTATTTATGTGAAGTAGAGCCATGAGAGAAACTCCCTGCAAGAAACCTTGCAGCCCAGAGGCAGGGCACATTGGTGCCATCATCTTGCTATTTGCTGCTGCTGGGGGCAGTCCCACTGCTGTGCTATCTCTAGGGCCCTGTGCTCCCTGTGCTGTGTTGGCACAGGAGTTTCTGGGACTCTGTTGTAGGCAGGATTAGAGCCCTGATCTGGGTTCAAGTGATATTTTTTTCTCTTCTGAGGTAGAGTTACTGCTTTGATGCCATAAAGCCACATTGCATGAGACCTCCTCTACAAGACTTGCTAATAAAGCTCCTACTGAAATCAACATCAGAATCAATCAGAACATTTCAAGGAAATGAAGTGAATCTAAGGTGAAGACCTTGGAGAAAGAACAATGATAGTCATGTAGAAACAGCTTATTTCCTGTAGTTTCTTTTTTTCAGAACCAAAATGAGCTAGGAAATGCAAATACCTTTTCAATTGGTATAATTACATTTGCCAGAGTGTCTGTAGATGCATGGTGTCCAGGTACAGTCATTTTTATGCAATACTTTCAAGTTTGCATCTTAGCCTCTTTGCAGAGCCTGAACAGTTACACAAAAGTGTAACTGCAAAACTAGCCTCTCCTGATAGTGTTTGTGAGTACAGCAGTAAAGAAAGAATTCCTTTTTCTCTCCCCCCTCCCAAAGGAGTAGGGGAACGATCATCTTAGGGGAACGATCATCCTTTCCAACCTAAACGGTTCTATGATTCTACATTTAGCCTGGAGAAAAAGAGGCTCAGAGAAGACCTTAAGGTTCTCTTCAACTACCTCAAATGCGGTTGTAATGAGTTGGAATTAGCCTTTTCTCTCAAGCATCAAGTGACAGGACAATAGGAAACAGACTTAAATTGCGTCAGGGGAGGTTTAGTTTGGATATTGGAAAAATTTCTTTACTGAAAGGGTGGTGAAACATTGGAACAGGCTGCTGGGACAAGAACACCGCTGCCACGTTTAAACCTTCCGCTCCTTTTCAGCAACAGACGCGGGGAAGGCTCCAATCTGCGGCTGCGGGCGGGACCCCGCAGCTCCCTCAGCTCCCCTCTGAGCCTCGGGCGCGCCGCTCACGGACACCCCCGCCGCCTCCTGCCGGCACCGGCTGGGAGCGCAGCGACCGCGATCGCGGTCTCGGAGCTCAGCCGTTGCTGCCTGGGAGCCACCTGGAGTTGTGGCAGGCAGCGCCAGCCGCCCCCGAGGCCGCCTGTCAGCGGCGTGGCGCATGCGCGCGGGCTCGTTCCGCTCGCCTGGCTGCGTGGCCGCGCCGGGAGAGCCGGGACCGCCGTGAGGGCGCGGGAGGGGGGCGGCTGAGGCGGGCGGGGGCGCTAGCCGGGCCCTGTGCGAGGCGAGGCCGGGCCGGGCGGCGGGATGTCGGCCGCGGGCGGCGTCGGCTCCTGCGGGCCGGGCGGCGCGGCCTGCGGCGGAGGGGTGGGCGGCGCGGCCTCGGCTCCGGGCGGCGGGGTGTCCATGTTCCGCTGGCTGGAGGTGTTGGAGAAGGAGTTCGACAAGGCCTTCGTGGACGTGGACCTGCTGCTGGGCGAGATCGACCCCGACCAGGCCGATATCACCTACGAGGGGCGGCAGAAGATGACCAGCCTGAGCTCCTGCTTCGCTCAGCTCTGCCACAAGGCGCAGACCGTGTCCCAGATCAACCACAAGCTGGAGGTGAGGGCGCGGCGGCGGGGTGCTGAGGGGCCTGCGGGGTTGGAGCTGCCCGACCCCGGCAGGGTGAGGCCTGCTGTGGGCGGCAGCCGGACCGCTCGGCATTCAGGGCCGGAGCTGCTTGACGGCGGCTGTCCCACGGGAGCCTGGCCCGGCCCAGCGGATCCCCGGCTTTGGGTTGTGTTGTTACGGAGTTGCTTATGGGGACAAAAAGTTGTCTTTGGTGATGAAAGAAGCATCTTGAGCAGCAGATGCCACTGGCTGGCACTGTATTTGCATTATCTCTCTAGGAAGCTTGGTAATCCTTGCAAAATGGGACAAAGGCATCAAGAATCTTCAAGCTTACAGGCAGCAGTTAGAGTGTTATTCCTGTCTACAAGTGAATGAAAAAAAAAAATGGGGATAGGCCTGACAGATCCTCTTGTTCCTTCTTCATACTCCTAGCAGATCAGATTGCCCCCTGCTGAACTGAGTCGAACTCATAGAGATCTCACAATCTGTGAGAAGAGTAACTATTCATAGAAATCCCAGAATGGGTGGGAAGGGACCTCAAGGATGATGAATTCTTCATGTCTAAACCGGCATTTCAGTAAGGGTGGGAAGGAAGAAGCATCTGCTGGAGCTGAGTTGGCTGGTGCTGATGTTACTCAAGAGGTAGGGCCATGGGGTCCTGTGATTTATGCAACAGTTGGAGTGCTCGGGAGGGAGAATCTGGGAAATTTTATGTTCTTCTGTTTCGTAGCTGCTTTCCAACTTGAGGCTTCCTTTTGTAGTATATTTGGATGTCATTTTGCCTGTCATTAAAGAGTGTAGATGTTAGATGCCTTCTTGTCTTTCTGTGACGAGAATAGACTTTGTGCTGCAGGACTGCTGAGAAGTCTTCATTTGGTTATCTTAGCCCTAGGCTAAAAATTGCTAGCATCTTCAGTATCTCTTATAGACCATGCTTTTTAGATTTGTATTGTTTGTTCCAGTAGCTTTGAAGTATGGGAATAAGGAGAGCTGCTTAGAAAGCCAGGTGGGTAAGCGCGTTGCAGAGTTTTAGTGGACAGGCCAGAGGTGTCGGTTCTTGCAGTCCTTTGTATTTTGCTTATTGCAATGAAGGAATTGAAGAATCTTCTGACAGTAACTTGCTCTTCTGAAGGGTTTCCTTGCAGTAGGAAATAAAGTAACTAAATTAGCTTTGGTTTTAATCTGATCTCTTCCTGGTATGAAAACCTTGTTATGCAAAATACCAGTAGAGCTTAACAGAGCATTGGGTTATTTCACAGTAGAATAAATACTTCATTAAGGAAGTTTTGCTAATTGCAGTCTTTATTTCATCACAGTGCTCACTGTAGTGATGTTTACAGTATTCTTGATATTTATGTTGCAATAGACTTGAATACGCTTTAGTACACAGTTTGCATGCATGCTGTCAAGCTGTACAGCACACTTAATTGTATAGGCATAGTAAAATAAGATTTATGAGTTTATAGTAGACAATTAGCATTTACTGCATATTGCACAGAACTGGTGGGTGTACTGACTTGTAAAGCAGATGACTTTTCAGTGTAAGGGAATGAGCTAATACTTTGTAAATACGTCTTTGAAAAGTTGTTTCATGCTTAAATATTTTGAAAGGAATTTATAAAGGTCAGATCCTGAAAGATCAAAGGTTGCTCTGAAAGTAACGCCTCCTTTTTATTTCCGTGGAAACTGGCACAGATACAAAGAGCACAATAACACTTTTTAATAGCGCAAATTTTCAATTACAAAACACTATTTTTCAGCACATTCAACACCATTAGCTGCACATTTTTGCCAGTAATAAACAAGAGCCTGCATGCCCCACCTTGTAAAAATGTATGCCAGTGAATGTGACGCACTGTTGCTGCTGCTGAACTTCACCACCCACCATTTCACTACGCTCACATCCACTGTTCGCTCTCAGAGTTCAGTAAGTATGGATGAATGTCAGTGGTTGCCATTTTTCTGCATGGAGGAATTCAATTCCACACCATTGCTTCATCTACACTTCTGTGTCACATGCCATTCTATCAGACTGCCCCTCTGCTGCTGTCTGTCACGCGGTGACAAAATGTAATGGAATGTTGGTGGGAAGATTCAACCTCTACTGCCATACCACCAACATCACCTCTGATGTTGTTGGCCAGCATAATAAAGTAGGAGACATTACTTTTGAAGCAACCCTTGTATTTTGGTATCTAATTAAAATCATCCGTGGCTTGGACACATAAATAGTGACAGACTGTACTTTAGTCTTGAATGAGTTGAAGAGCAAAGGATCACAGTTCATAGTTTGATCATATAGCTATTAGTGTGTCTAGAGTGAGAACTAATTGATACTAAAAATCTAGAGCTAGTAAATAAAATAACATTTTATTTTGTGAAATATTTTTATTTCTGATAATAGTGTTAGGTTTCATACCTGTGTCCATATAGAAAGCTTTATCTGAAATAGACCTTTAGGAGGCTAAAGTGTTGTCTTGATAGTTGTTGATAGGATCTCATGATTATTAGTCATAAATTTGAAATGACAGCTACCATTTAAAGTCTCTGAAAGATGGAGCTGCTCTGTTGAGAATGAATGTCTTGTCTTTTTTTCTAGTCAGAAATCTCTGTCCAAAATGAAGGACAGAGTTACGTATTTTGAAAAATCTCAAGAACATTAATACTGAAGTTAGGATGATCAGTGACTTTATTCTCTTTTTTTGTGGTGCAAGTTATGGTATATTTCACGACATTTAAAATTGCAGTTATTTTTTTAGCAGCTTGAAGTTATCATATTATGGTGCTTGTGCACTTTCATTTGGAGTTTTCATAAATGACATTATTTATGTAGGTACAAAAAATTAATGATAATAATTGGGAATATTGTTCTATTGATTGTGGGTTTTATTTCCTTGAGAAGAATCGTCTGCCCTTGTCACAGTTTTACAGACAAGAAAAGAGAAACACAGTTCAGAACGTGCTTTATCAGCTTAATATCTGTTCTGGAATTGGTGTAATTGCTTTTAAGACACACTTTAGTTAGTTTTTAGTTGGAGTAGATAGAAGCTCCTGCTGTAGAAGTTTCATGGAAGAGTGTTTTGGCACTTTTGTATACACCAAAAGTGTATACAAACTGCCAGAGATGAATTTAGGTAAAATATTGTGCTGGGGATATTTCAGAACAGTGAAAAAAGTGCGTGAGGACAAGGCTGGTTTCTGTAAAGGACGGGATGTGCAATCACTTGAGATGCTGGTTACTATCAGAAGCAGCCTGAAGGCATGCAGATGCACAGCGGATGCATGCAGGTAAGTTTACTCAGGCTTTAGAGTGATGAAAGGTTGTAATTATACTAATAACATTTATGACCCTAAGTTAAACTAAAAAGGAGGAGGATTTATTTTCATATTTTTCCTGCTGGTCACAGATTTGAAAGGAGTAGCTTACCAAAGAGAAAAAAATCGTTAGGTGATGGAAGCCATTGTCTTTGAGATAAGCTTGACTTGACCAGCATAGCATACAGTGTGCTAAACGAGTGCAGGAATGTATCATAATGGAGGACAGCGAGGGCCTCAGGCTGTTAGAACAAAAGGAGATGACAGCCATTTTAAAAGAGATTTTTCTTGGGCTCTGTCTCTCAGCATTACTGTCAGCAGATGCAAGCTAACAGTCACTGTGTGAGAGACCAGATTTCTAAGTGAGAGGAAGTTCATAGGATTTATCTTTCCTGTTCAGATATTATTTGAGCTGAAAAAAAAAAATATATGATGCTGACTGACACTGTTTAAATGTTCATTAAAAAAAAAAAATAATTCAGTGAAAGTAAAAGTAGTAGGTTAACGTGCTGGTGAAAACTGAGCTTGACTGCCACTTTGCCTGCCAGCCTAATTCTGTAATTTTAAATGAACAAACTGGAATGGAATGTCTGGTAGAGCACACCCTATGTCTTAGTAGTTGGGTTAAGCTAACTGCAGGCTAGAGTTTAAGAAAGCATTTAAGCAAATGTCTAAGAGGTTATTTGCCTATGTATTTTTGTTACTGTTGAACTGGAAATCAGTTAGTAGATTTAGAAGAGGAAATTCCTTTAAGCTGAATTCTTATTTCTTTAAGTAACTTGTGCTGTATCAGCTAAAGCATGTGTAGTGTGTGTGGGTAACTTGAAGATCCCTATTTAAAAAAAAAAAAAAAAAAAAAAAAGCAACTCAGTACCCCAAAAAAGCCAACCGTAGGTGGCTATGTATGGTGTTTTTTCACATAATTTGAGTCCATCTTATGGAGCATGCTGCAGAACTCCTTTGTTGATTAGGAGTACTTTTTAACCAAGATTGGACCGTATACTTTATTACAAAGGTCCTTTGGTTTGTTTTTAATCCCCTTTCTCCTTTGACTTATAAGCTGAACTGCACCTACATATAACCGAGATGTTTCTTTGCCCTATGACAGATGTGCCTTTAACACTGGAAACATTTCTAGTAAGAAAAGGAAGTTAATTTATTTTTTCAAATGTGTTTAAATTGTTCATCTCCTCCTGAGGTGTCACTTCTTTGTTTACACTTCTACATTGGAATCTTTTTTTCCTCTTTTCAAATTGAAAACTTGGTACTGGATGGAATGTGGTTTATCTGGAATGAGATGCAATACAGCTTGTATCTTAGAATTAGATTAGTTTGCAGATGTTCAGACAGTGGAAGTACAGTATTCACCTTTTTAAAGGGATGACCTGCATTTAATTCACGTTTTCCTATATCAAAAGTCATGGATTTGTAATCCTGTTTAACTAGCTCACCTTAATTTCAGTCATTGAGTAGTCAAATGCTGAACTGTATTCTCTTTTTCTCTCACTTATTAGGAGATGCAAATTTTAAGCAATGGGGGTATTTTAGTTTGTAACTCTTAGTTTTGTGTAATGAATTATACTGCATAGCTAGTCTGACCTCCAAAATAGTGCCTATGATAAAGCTACCAAAATGACTTCTAAAAGCTCCATTCAGTATTCCTCATAAGCAATTAG